TGCTGAACCTCATTTTGTAAGAAATGCGATAAATAATAAATCCATTACACATAAATTTAATATATTTTCTTACGAAATAATAATTTTTTTTCTTTTGCAATGATGGTTTCAGCTCTTATTTTTTATTTAGTGAAAAAAAGCCATATTTGATAATGATGGATCCATTTTCTTATTTTTGAAAACAAAATCTGTTTTTTTTCCTGTTTTCTGATATTCGTAAAGTACATGTATGAGTGTTTCCACATTTTTTTGAAAGTAGGTCGAAAATGATTATTTTAATCAAGGGAAATTTACACACATTGCACACAATTCTGTGAATTTATTTTAATTATGATAAATTGGTTCATTTTTATATTTAGATTTAGTTTAGAGTATACGACAACCTATCCATTGAGAGTGTCTCAGGGGGACCTCAAATGATGAATCACTTCTCTCTTACTAATACTTCAAATTTCCTTTCAGACTTCGGAATGGATAGTGGATCACAGAAGAAATCAACTTTTATATTTTTTCAGAAGTTTGGGGTACAGGGAAACAATGAAAGGAGATAAAAATTCTCATATTCGCATGGAGTGAGGGGAGCATGGGAGTGGCGACAAAGGAGAAAGAGAGATGCGGCATCTTCGGCTATTTGAAGAGGAAAAGAGGTCTTGTTCAGCTCGGGTATGGGAACCTACTATATGTGAAATAAAAAGAGAAAATGGAGATGTCGGACTACCTTTGGGCCTGAGTGTGCCGTATGCGGCTTGAGAAAGTTGGATGCTTTGGCCTCTTCCTGCTGGTGTGAACCGATAAGAAGAGAAGGAAGAGGCGAAGGGGCTTCAACATGCTTCATGCTTGGCTGTTCGCAAACCACAAAACAAGAGAGAGAGCAAGAGAGAAGCTAGAGAGAAGTTAGGGATGCAGAGAAGAAGAGAGTAGAGAGTAATGCGAATGCCAACGAGCACTTCAAATGTGTACGAGACCGTTAAGTGCAGGAGCAGTTGTGGCATTTTAGCAGGATTTCGCAGGAGAGAGAGAGAGAGAGAGAGAGGATGAAGGGATTTCACATGTCTCAGCAGGGTGAACTTGATTTTTGCTTGATTCGAGCGTAATTAATTTACACACAAAAGCTCCTTTATTGTGAATGTTAAATACCCTATAAATTCATAGTATTTTTACGTTACGTCTTACTAAACATCTAAATATTTTAAAATTCATGTATCTATTTTACAGTACACATCTAAAACTGTCAACTAAACAGCCTCATATTTATAGAATTTTACAAACCTTTCTTTCCATTTGATTCATTAAATAAACTTCCTCCCCTTGTCTCTTCCTAATATAATGCATTTCTCTTCTCAATGGCATTTCATTGCTAACCAGTCATTCTGGATATATACTCTTTTGGGTATATTTCCTTTTACTTCCGCCCTTGTACTAAATTATGAATTGCTTAAAGTAATGGGATCTCCACACAAGGAGCAGCTTGAAGTAGAGCACGCAACATATATTTTAAATAAAGATTTTTATTGTTAGAACCTTTGAGCATGCTGCCTATCGCTAGTGCTCGTTGATATACGAAGGGCGTAGAGTGAGTAATGGGATATATGAATACTATACCGTACCCATTGCTCATAATAAAATCTATATTTATTTAATAATGATTAATTTATTTGTTATTTTTTTTTCTTTGAGGAAACTTTGAGAGAATTTTAGCTTTTATTATGATGCATTTTAATGCACTGTCTTTGTCCAGAGAAACTTCTAGCTACAAGTCATGATTCTTCATTTTTAGGTGTTTATTTGTATCTAAATACCTAGTGAGATTTTAGGATTTCACTGGCCTCACGTCGATTGTGGTTTAAATATTTTTGATATAGGTCCGTCTGGAGAATAAGATTGCCATGCACTATGGCATACTATGTTTGAACGCAGGGGACCTTACTATAATGGGAGGAATTGTTCAATCTCTTTACGAGGAGTGGCAGATGAGCCAGAGATACTCAGGTTTCTCTCGTTCTTTGACGAGGCTGCCCCAAAATGATGATGGGGCCGGACCTCCTCCATTTGAGAAGTTGCAAACTCAAGCATGTCCAAGGAAGGTTTCCCAGTTCAGCAGTTCACATGGTACTCACTTTATTTCTCATTCAATACCATCACTTATGCTGATAATAAGTCATACATTCGATATTCCTACTTTTTCAATGGAAATAATATTCTTAATGATCAAGGAAGTTGCTTGGAATATTCACTTCGTAGTGGCTTTTTTTCACATTCAAAGGAAGCATAATTTCACTGTAGGACTGAGATTGCTTTCAGTTGAATGAAGTAAATCTACCATAAATTTTTCTATGATGCTATATTCAAGATATGCTGATTTTTAAATTAAAGGAAAATTTACATGCGTACCACGACATTCCTCTGTATTTACATATCTAACATCTAAACTTCCATTTTTCCATACATGCCACCTTATCAATGCATGAAAAGGTGTATTTCATTTTTTATAAGTTAAGAAGGTGATATTTTTTATGTGATATGAAAGATTTGGGTGGTATAATTATAAAAAGTGAAATTTAGGTGTTAGATATGTAAAATACATAAGAATTGGGTGGTATGTATGTAAATGTCCCATAATTAAATTGTGAAAATTGTATATGGCTATTGCCAAAATTTAAGTTGCGGTCTTGACTTTTACTGCTGCTTTATCAAAGCCACTTGTGATGAAGATTGACGTTTTTTCCCTTACTCTAAATTGACTTTATATATTTATTGGACACACTTAGCATAATGAAGGCTATCAAATAATAGTGAATATTGTGATGCTAGACCAGTGGGACATAATGAAGGCTATCAAAGGACTATCAAAGATCAGCCTACTCAAGGGAAAGACCAGGCTTTTGATGATCCAAAGCTTGTTTCCTCAGCAATTGAAAATGAGGAGAAAAGTTCTAATGCGGAAGCTAGACCCAAAGAAGGTAACTGTGATGAGGCCTTTGCTGTTTTATTTATTCCCATATGGCTTCTTAGTTTTTCTGGCCATGTAACAAAATATTTTGTTGCTGCACCAAAAAGCAATTGAAGCTGTTCCGGTACAGAACCAAGCTGCTGCACAAAAGCTCTTGCAGAAAATGATTCAGCCAATGCATGAAGGAAGAAAGCCCAGGGATCATAAATCCAGATTCAAGGGAAAGCAGGAGGAGGCGCAGGTCTTCACTCTCGATGAATGGGAACGGAAGAAAGCGAGCTCGTCAAATGCGATTGGGATGGTTAACATTCAAAACATTAGTGGTGATGAGGAGCTTGCACGACGGCTTCAGAGCCAATTAGATATGGAGGATTACCAGCATAGTCTCTCTTCGGTAGCTTCCTCAACACTAAAGATTTCTATAAATGAGAAGTATAAGTGGTTTTCTTGTTGAAAACAATATATCTCATATCAATCAAACTGGGGTGTCTGTTTTCGCCCTTATTGCTGCTAATAATTTTAGTTCTTGCAGAACGGTCGAGTGATTGCGGGAAACGAAGCAGATCAAATACGAATGAGCATGTTCAACTTTGGTGGAACTGAAGAGGTGAGGAATGGTGGAAGAGGTGATTTCAGAGGAAGGGGGAGGGGAAGGGGAAGGGGAAGGGGGGAAAGAGGGAGAAAAAGATTTGGCTGACTACACTCAAAACTGTTTCCAAATAGTTGAGCTCAGTTTCTTTTCTACTTGCCAGTATGGCTATGCTATATTTCTAACATATTTAAGAACTGTAATTTTGCTCACACTAGAAATAGATCGAAGTCTTGCAATTTTACATTTGCTGGAAGTATTTTATTCTGCAGCTAAATGCCTTCTATTTTTAAATTTGTAGCTGTTTATGGTTTCTTTCTCTTTGGGTGGTCATGAACTCACACTTGCATCTTAATCTTAAGTCTAAAATGAGGGTTTTGTATTTAACTTGGTTATTGATGACTTTAAAATAAATATGCATTGAGTGACATAAAGATAACTTTTATTTCTTATTGATTGTGGCTTTTTTGACAATTTCAACCATCAAACCTCTTAATAGGGTTGTAATTGATAATTGAGAGACATGAGGTGAAAACCTCCTTTTTGTCGCAACCCAACTCTATGCAATCCGTCATATTAAGACGGGTCGCTTCGTGTCAGGATCATAATAGATGAATTGTTACCCACGATTTATTTAGAAGGAATTTTATTGACTTATTTTTCTTCGATTTTCATAAATACATAGCACTAAAATAATTAAATATTATAAAATAAAAAATATTCAAAAATCATTCATATCATATAAATATATAACAATAGAAATATTTATAATAATTGTGGTTTGAATTCTCTATTATCGAAAAAACTAAACATTATCATGACTGTTAAAAATATAATTTTAAGACGTTGACATGCCTAAAATTAGGCTCTCACTAGTAACACAAAAATTTCTTTTGAACCCGAGTTATACCCTTTCCTGAAACAACACATACAATTAAAACATGGGTGAGCAACCATAACTTAGTATGCTACCCAAAATCAATTTTAATATTCAATATAAAAAACAATAAACCAAGATTTTCTGTAAATGAATCCAACATATCAAAATATCATGTGTAACATCTATCGCAATGTTAGTACCACAAATTATATCACAGTAAACATGTGTTTAGTAAGCAACATGATATCTCAAGTGCAGTAAAATAATATGAAAATTAAAATTATTTCTTTATTAAAATTATTTTAAAATTTTTCCTTCACGTCCTTATATGTGTATTTCCATTTATAAATCCATTTGTTCATATTTCGTTTATTCCCCTTTATAACTTCACTTCTACTTATACAGTACTTGTTCATATCTGTTCAGACGTATTTAACACATAAATGGATAAATACACAGGTGCAAAAACTTATAACTCCACTTGATTGCACATTGCACATTGCACTAGCCCATCACAACCTCCGGCAAACTCCCCCCGTTTTCCTCATTTTTGACATATATTTTGATACAAAAGCTTATAAATGTTACCAATTGGACATATCAAATATCAAAACATGTGGTAGAAAATGGTACATACCATTAGACACAAGTAACAATGTAATTTATGTGAGAATAAATTTACACATCAAAAAATAAAATTTGCAAAACTACTTTAATGAATTGTCCCGAATAATATTTTAACTATTTCTCATTATACATCAAATTTATCTAGTTTGACACGTGTCAAAATAATATATATATATATATATATATATATATATATTG